TTTGCACATAAAATGTTTCACAATTTTGGTGTAACATGCTGCGCGCGCACCCTGCGCACCCTGAATTTCCAACACTGTTACTACCTAAATTGGTAATTTTATTTCTATAACGCAGAAATTTATTACCAAATTTAGAAATTATGTATGCAGATTATTAGCTAACATCACTAGTTAATCTTATATTAAATATTAATGAACAGTTCTGTAAGTTTTCATAATATATAAAAAAATAAATACAATAGGGTTAGATTAATCTTTGATGCTCGTTGAATTATTTTAATAGATCTATTAAAATTTAATATTGCAATATATATTGCATGATCATGTGTTTAAACTCTACTCAAGATTGAATTATTTGTTTATATGATATTCTTTTGGTTGATGCGTAAATTCTTTTTGTTTTACCACTGCCAATTATTGCCAACATTTAATATCTAATTTATTTACACGTAATTAAATTCCTTCTAGCAGATAAGTAAAGGATGAAGGAAATAATGATGCCTTAACCCTTGGATATCTACTAATAAAGTATTAATTATCTCAATAAATTTATTTATTTAAACACAATTATTATTGTTGTCTTGCTTTCAGAAAAGGTTGATTACTTGTATTAATACACGATTATAATTAAGGTAATTTAAAATTGTAATTTTAAATTCAAGTTATCAATTTAACCTATATTTAACTATATCATCTATTATATGCAAGTAAAATTTATGGGGGGATAAATTTATTGGTGTAAATTGAAAATCTCGTAGATCACTTGGAACCTTTATTTACGAATTTTAGAAAGTGATTTTCGATCAAATCATGAGAGTACATCATTGGTTTGTTTATATCTTCATACAGTGCAGAATCTCTATTATAGGAACGAAATTGGAAAATTTAAATATCATGTGGTTCATGAATCAATCGATCATATAAATTTTTTATGGGAGATCTCCCTTTTTAAAGTAAAGGCAACTTTTATTCTAGTCATTAAACAAAATATATTTACATTTTGGTGATTATATTTTCATACTTTGCTTAGATGCAGATTAACAAATTTTACCGAATTCCCGCACCATTTAACAATTCCATTAATTTCTTCAGAAAATGTTTCGGCAAACAAGCAACATTTAACGTTTTTATACGAAGTAAGATTTACATGTATATATTAATAAGAGGTGATGGCACAAAGAATTTAGGGGGATCAGAAAATATTTTTCATGATAGACAAAATAACTTAAGCCTGGAACTATTGTATCTAACGTATTGTTATTGTTTCATTTATTTTTAAAAACTCTTGGAATTCCTCTTTTAACGAATCAAGCTCAATCACTGTCACCAAATATGATCATTGAACACATGCTTTGATCATTAAAAGCTAATTTTCTGTTACATGTCTGCTTCCATTTTCTGTTTCCACCTTGTAGTTAATTTAGGCCTACCTCTAGCCTTTTTTGTAGCCGTTGACTCCTCAGTTTTGTAATGAATTTTAAACATTAAAGGCAAAAAAGTATTAAATCATACAAATAACCGGGAATGGCAGAAGTTATGAAAGAATAATTATAAAGTCAATAATTCATATATTTTTCCATTGTTTTCCAGCGGGTTTGTCCTGATCATAACAAAGTGAAAATAGTTCTATATTGTCCATCCTGTTATTAAATACTAGATTTTTTTCTGGTCAACAGATAAGGTTAATTTTATATTTTTTTTATATCATTTGATAAATAATTAACTTTAAAAAGTGTAATTTCATCTTTTGTTGATCGTGATGCAACTAGTCTACTTATTGATCAACAACATTACATAGATGCGTTGATCTGCTAGCGTGACTGTTGTGACATAAGGTTTGATATTTAGGGTTTGATCGACCCCAGAAACTTAATACTTTTATTAGAAGTTTTAATCTTGGAATTTTGCAGATAAATCTCATGTCGTCACATAATTATTTAGGTGAGGTTTTATATATATATAAATAAACATAATAAACATTATTGCAGAAATAGAAATACTTCTATTTTTAAATTTAAATTTAAATTTTTTTTATTCTTAATATCTCTGATATTATTTTAAATTTTATTTATGAGAAGAAAACCCAAAACATCTGAAATAAACCTTATCAATTTAAAGGAGAAAAATTATTACATAATAATAATATATTTGTTATATATTATATATACCCTATTATTAATTAATTAGTATTAAGTTAATCAATTAAATTATCCCATTAATACAACACTATATATTATTAATTGTAAGCTAATATTTATTTATTTTATCTACATATTTACAAGAAATTAACACCAAACCAAAAGAAAACCAATAAGAAAAATTTTAATTATTAAAATTACCACATAAAAAAAAAAAATTAAAGGTGAAAAAACAAGTGCATGATTAATTAAAAAAAAAAAACCATCGAGGAATTCTTTAATTAATTAAAGAATCGTCAATTAATCTTAAAAAACAAACCAATAAAAACTCCAATAAAAAAAAAAAAAAATCAATAAATTTACCATTGGTTTTTTTTTCGTGAGAAACAAAAAAAAAAAAAAACAATTACGAAATGTTTGAAAATTTATTTGTTTTGAAATTGAAAAAATATTTTAGAAACTCTGTCGCAATCAATTAAGTGAGTGTGGTGAAAGACCATGTGTTCGTATGTGTGTGTATGCGCGTGCGAATGTAATGTATGTAATAATGTATTGTATATGTATGAAGCGAATTCTTTGAAAAATAAAAATGAAGGGAATTTATTAATATTTGCCAAAAGAAGAAAAGAAGAACTAATTGGTGTAACCTCGTTCATTGGTAATGGTGGTGTTAAAATGAAATAATTAAAAGAGTTTGGATGTTGTTTGTTGTATGTACAAAAAAAAATTTTTTGCGTTTGTGTATGTACAAGGAAAATATATAACAAAAATAGTAATGAAATTTAACGCATGGAAATTCATAATAATAAATGGTGATTCATTCATTAATTATTAATTCATTTTTTCTCGTTATCAATAACGACAACCAATGATAAATAATTAGAATATTAGAACTAACGAAGAAATGTAGAAGGCATAGAGGATGGAGAAGGAGGCGTAGAAGGTTGTTTCTTAAAGATTCTACGAAGTTTTGATAAATTTTGCTTTTTAATTATTTGTGGTGGTTGTGGAATTTGTTGTTTTAATGGTTGTTGTAGTGAATATGTTTCATCATTTGTATTTACGTTATTATTATCATAATTTTCTACAACTTCTATATCTACATTATCATTCGTCACTTCATTATCATCATCATCATCATTCTCCTCCTCTTTGTTATTGTCGTCGTCATCGTCGTCATCGTCGTCATCGTCGTCGTCGTCGTCATCGTCGTCGTCATCATCCACTCCTTCCCGGTCAATGTTATTAACATTAGTGTTATTTTTAATTCTGATCGAAGTTGGAGTTATTGACGGTGAATAATCATAACCATTGTTTTTCATATTCATTGGATTACATGAAGAGGTTAATGATTGAATGATATTCCCTGGTTTCCGTAATAATTGTGAAACATTATTATGTTTGTTATTATTAACTTGTTGTATGGTAGTTACAAGCGTTGGTGATGAAGGCAATGAATTAGTTGAGGTATTTGATAAATTATAATCTAATCCATCATTATTGTTTAAATAATTATCATTACCATTGATATTGATATTATTATCCAAAGCAGTAAGAGAAGTTGGAGAAGTTGGAGTGGTGGGAGATGGCAAAGAAGAGGAGGAAGAAGAGGAAGTGTTAAAATTGGGATCATCGTCGTGAGATATTTGATTACGTGGACCAAAATCAATTGACCATCTTCGCTGAAATTTTGGTTTTTTTAATAATAAGAATTGTGACGGATTATCTAACGACCATTTCTTTGTACGATTCGGTGACTTATTGGCATTGTTGTTATTGTTATTATTTGTGCTATTGTTATCGATGTTTGATGAATCCGGTATCCATTTTTGATTACGATTTGCTTTCTTAGGAGGTAGTGGCGGTGGATGTGCTGAAGATACTGGAGACACATTATTTTTAATGACTTTTTTATCAGAATTGCTATTGCAATTGTTGCTATTGATAAACGAATCGTCTTTGCTAAATATCTCATCGGCTCTCCTCCTATTGTTGCTACTATTATTACTATGATTTGAAATTACATTTTTTTGAAGAACATTTCCATTATGATTATGATTATGGTCATGGTTGTGATTATTACCACCATTACCACTAATATGATCGTTGTTGTTGTTACCGGTCCTTAATATGATACTTCCATCTTTTGAATGTTTACTTAACAATAAAGCTTCAAATACACGGTTTTTCAACGTCAATTTTTGATTTTCGGTATTCAGATGTTGAATTAGATCATCTTTTTGTGAAACAATGTTTTTTAATGCCTGGATTGTCAATCTGCTTTGTTCCAATTCTTGTAATAATTTGAAATTTTGATTTTTGAGGAAATTATTGTCAACTTTTATTCTTATCATTGAAATCGAAATCTTTTTCTTTAATTTAGATTTTCTTGATGTGGAATCGGAACGACCTAACCTAGACGGGGGACGACTAAATGGTTCATTATTATATTCAGTTTCTTCATCACTTTCATGAATATCATTGTAATTTTCATTTTTTGAAGTATATTTTATAAAATCTAATTCTAATAAATCGTCATCCGATCCAGCACTAAATTTATCGTCGTCGTCATCATAATATACTTCTACCTCGTCGTCATCATCATCGTCATCATCATCGTCATCACCATCGTCACTACTATCGAATGATGAATCAGAATTTGATGATTGAAGTTTTGGAAATGATGATAATGTATTATTATTACGATGAGATGTTGTTATCGGTGATGATGATTTTATTTGAGTCGATATTGATACAAAGTTGTTATTATTATAATTATAATTATTATTATTATCAATATAATTATTATTAATATTAGTATTAGCAGTAGGGTTTGTATTATTAGTATTATTATTTATATTAAAATTATCGATTGTTCCTGATAATAATGATTTTGGTGCTTTTGGAATTATTACTGAAGTTGAGTAATTTGTCATGATTGATTAATATTATATTTACGGTGTATTATGAAATACTATATTCAGTAGTAAGGATATATATATATATATATAATTCTCTATTAGTGATATTAATATTTGTATATTTTGGATATGTCTATTTATTATTTTTTTTTTCTTCAAAATTATATATGCTGACAAAAAATTGGAGAAAAAATAAAAAAACTAAAAATCTAATCTATTTATAAACAAAAAATTTAAATATGCAAAATATGCAAAAAAAAAATAAAATAATAATATATAAATTATTATTATTTTTGGAGGAAAAAATAAAGAAAAGTATTTTGTTGTATATTTATAAAAATTAAAATAATAAGAATAATTAATTTAAGAGATAATAGGAAAAGTTTTATTTATCTATTTATTTATTATTTATTAATACTATATTAATATATATTTTACAAATATGGTTGTATGATTATTTTTATTATGTCAATCATTTATTATTATTATTCAAAGAAGAAAAAAAATAAATTAGATACGAGCAAATGAATTTGTCAATGATCATGATGATGAATTTTTGAATGAATGAACTTGTTAGTAGTAACAGTAGGTGGGAAGAGAGAGGGAAGAAAATCTTGGGAATTAATTAGTAATACAAGAAATAGAATTAGAATATACGGCCTATTCTAAAACCCGAATTTAAAATCTTACAAAAATAAACAGTATAAATAAAAAGAAAATAAGCAGCATAAATAAAATTAATTAAATTAATTTAATTTCTGCAATAATATATTTATACATGCATTACAACAAAAAATCATCCTTTTTTAATTATAACAAATAATAAAAAATCCCTGTCAGTTAATTTGTTCGTTATTTTGTTTGCTAGCGCTAGTACTAGCAAAAGAAAGGGTTTAAAGGGGTTGTTAGTTTAATTTTAAAAGAGTTATTAAATCTTAATTTAATATTAATGGATTAACTCGATGAGCAACTATGGATCTTAACGATATGATATATCAATGAAAAGATGATTATAATTGTGATTTATTTATTTATCTTATGATTTTGAGAAAATTTTTTTTGTGTATTGTAAATAATGATAATATATATACTGTATACATACATACACAAAACAGTTTATTTTTGTTAAGAAATAAAAGAGACTACTTTTTGCAAATCTTATTATTAATTTAATCTAATTAGAAATTTGGTAAAATAAATATTTGTAATAAATAATAACATTAATTTTATATTAATTAACAGAAAAAGAAGTGAATTCTAAGTCATAAAATATAATTATTCACCAAAACTATATAAAACATGTTATCGGAAAATTGTTTTACAGCCCCCCCCTTTAAATTCTCCTCATCGTTATTATTTTTTAAACAGTAATAATAATAATAACAGGGTATATATAGAAATGTGGAAATTAATATGGAAATTCATGTTTATTGTATATATATAAAAATTTATTTCATCACAACCAAATATGTAAAGTCACGACGAACACGAGAATTTTTTTTTTTTTGTAACCCGACATTAATAATAATATGAATCAACTCCGTACTATATTCCCACCGATCATATTAATATCATGGTATGAATTAAAAAAAAAAAAAAACGGTATTTACGGATTGATGAATCAAGGGTTTGATGATGGATAACAAATAATAATAATTCATCAATGGTCTAACACGGAGTGGAATATTTTTTTATTTAATTTAGTATTAGTAATAATAGAAATATTTACTAACTGATTATCATAATAATAATAAATAAACCAAATCAGTCAAATTTCCTTTCATTCATTCACAAAGATATAATCATGATTTTTTTAAACGAATAAACATAATAACAATAATAAACATGACTTATTATTTTTAAAGTATTACGTATATTTAAAGTCATATGATCATTGTCCGAGTTTCTTTTTTTAATTTGGAATCTATTTTCGAAGATTATTATTGTTAAATTTAGTAAAATTAGTAAAACAATTAATTATTGATGATGACGACAGCGAATAATTACGACGATAATAATAATAATAATAATAATGGTGTTACCGAATCACACGAAATCATTCTTCGAAATATTTTTCTTTTTCATACGTAATATTTTTATTTTTTGTCAAATTAGGAAAATCACAATAATAATGATTTTACCAATTAATTAATTGTTTTCACTCTTTATTCGCTTCACTTCGTCTTTTAAAACTTACTGAATCGATAAATCAACTGGTTGATCAATCAATTAAATCGGTCTCGGATATGAATTGATAAATTAGTTTTTCTTTTTTGCCAAGATACGAAAAAAAAAAGAATAATTTTTTATTGTTCATCTCCGATTCTAAAATCCAATTAAATTTGGCAGATAAGTAAATGAATGCACACAAATCTATTTTAAAATCGATGCAATGTAATGTATTGCTAATCATCCGTCAACACCTATTTTCTCGATAATTATTATAACAAAAACCGTACATATCGCACGTACTAGTCTGCGTACTTTCTCGCATATATCAATTGCTCATTCAAACTGCACATTTTTATTTATTTGGTAAGTTTTTTTTTTTTATCTTTACAATTTTTTTTAAAAAAAATCGAGCAGGCATAAAATTAAAAAATACCTGATTTAGAAAACGACAACTTTATTATTATTTATTAGTTTGCTCACACATCTATGTCGTTTAATATATTATAAAACTAAAAAAGAACTTTCCTAGCAATTAAATTATTCAAAAATAAATTTTTTCTCTTCTCTTTATTAGTATTAAGTAAATTATTTTATTAACAGTTACTTATTACGATCAATGTGTTGACTCTCAAACACCTCGCCCAAATCAGCTCGTTAGTAGTATGTATGTATAGCTGAAGCATAATAATGAATTAATAAATATATTTATTATTATTTACTGTGCTTTTAAGAGTATGGTTTCACCAAAAGCCGTGTGAAACTAAACATTTAGATGAATTGTTTCACCTTATTTTTTGGGATTATTAACGATATTTCTATTAATGCAAATGATAAATATTCAAACAAAAGAGAAAAAAGTATATGATGAGTGTCCAACTTGTATAGATATAATACTTGGTGTCAATCTTGTGATCTACAATTATAATCTCAAGGCGGACAAGTGGCAATGAAACCATTGATGAATTAATAAAAAACACCAACAGGATATGGTAAATATAATATGATGAATTAAAAAAGTATTAGAATAATTGGTTTGATGACTATATACAAAGCTACTTGGATATTTGGTAAAAGATAAAAGGCAATAAAAAATGTTGTAAAGATAAGATTGTTGCATTAAAAAATTACATTATTCACAAAATGTTCTGATGAATTTTTAAATGAGGTAAAATAATTTAATTAAAAATTGTGATAAACTTTACCAAACTGATTACATAATTAGGATTTATGGATTAACAAGACCAAATCACAAAAGATTATACATGAAAGAAAGAAGCCTTCAAATTATTTAACAAAAAAATTTAAAAATTTACAATGGAGAGATAAATTCTTATTTTTTATACTATTATTGGTGGTTTGGATATCCATGAGCAAAAAATCATTTACAGTGGCAACATTCTTCATGGCAATTGTTCATATATTGCAGAAATAGGATTATCAGTTCCAGCTGATAAAACTTTAAAATCAAATGAAAGTAGTGTATGTGGAGTATTACCATACTTGGAGCCATAAGTATTAAATGGTAAACTGCATCAGGTATAGTTTGGAATATTGATATCAGTAATCTCAACAACAACCTTTTAGTAATTTGGCACATGATAGATCAAAATATGTGAAGAAGCAAGACCTAGCTCCTCAATTAATACTCCAAAACTTTATATTGAATTAGCCTGTAAACATATGGATATAAATGCGTAATTGCTAAAAATTTATTATAATGCGCTTATTCATTATTAATGATTCTGATGAAGAAAAATTGATTCAAAAAAATTTGACTTGAACCTACAACAATTACAATGACAACAGATCCTGATGCTGTTTATATCAGCAGATTATTGTAATTTACAAATCTCTCAGCCTGTAAATTATAGAAGAGTTATATTCATTAGTAATAATAATGGCAATTATTAAAGAGAATTGCTATTTCTTACCAGTGGTGATTGTCACCACCTAAGGAATTAAATTTGCGTAGGGCGGAGTTAGGGTTGGGGTTAATCATAATTGTATAATTCCTTAGGTGGTGACAATCACCACCAGTGAGAAATAGCAATTCCATTATTAAATTATTATTTTTTTTTTTAATAAAGGCAATATCCTGCTCATATAATTTTATTAGAATAAAGTAAATATAATAATAATAATTCACTAAATAAATTCCAAATTAACTTTATATGTGGTTATTCCCCTTGAAAATAATTAATATAGATATATATATATATACACATTTAAATTTAACATTTCAGAAAAAAAAACAGATATGTCAAACAAAGTCTATAAAGTTTATTCATTCTCAATTTAACAATTTTAACTGCATCATAGATGTTGTTGACTGATCTGGATATTACCTAGGTAATGGGAAGTCGGATCCAGTATTAATGAAGTTATTTATTAAGCTGGATGAGAATTATTAGAATTAGTGTTAGAATTAGAATGAGAATTTGAAAGAGGTCTTGAGGGTATTTATGCTATCTGATTAGTTGGTATAATTAGAATATTTATTATTTAGAGAAGTGGTTGTTGGTGAGCGTGAGTTTTTTTTCATATTTATTATGATAATCTTTACCAAATATGTAATTTCGGCATTTCGGCACATTTCTGCACATTTCGGCATTTTCAATTTCGGCATTTCGGAAACAATTCGACATTTCGGAAACAATTCAGCATTTCGGAAACAATTCGGCATTTCGGAAACAATTCGGAGTACAACCACTAATCCGAAATATTTCAGAAATCAAAAAATAGTTACAGCTAACAACTTTAACTTAAACCTCAATTCTGTCAACCACAAATAAATTTTTTAAGCAATATATCAAGTTTACCTCACACCAATCCATTCATTTTCC